GGAGCGAGCGAAGGCTGCGTTTAAGGACGTCGCAGCTGACGCCGCGACCAAAGGACGTCACAGTTGGCGCTGCGACAAGGACGTCACAACGCCATAGATTCCCAAGTTGGCATCTACGCGGATGACACCACAATTTATTCCTGCCTCAAAAACAAATCTAGAGTCGATGACAAAACTAATCTGACCGTTCGTCTCGAAAAGGACCTCCAATCGGTTGTGAACTGGGGCAGGAATTGGCTGGTTAACGCCTCAAAAACAAAACTGCTCTCTATTAATCACCACAGAGATCTTTCCCTTCCATCCATTAGAATGTCTGACGCTCAACTTCTCGAGAGCACCTCTCTGCGGCTGCTCGGTCTCACGTTGACTACTGACCTGAGATGGAAGAAATACAATGAGTCAATTGCTTCGTCCACCGCAAGGAAACTTGGCTCCATCTGCCGCGCCAGGAAATTTTTCTCCCCGGAATCAATCCTTCAAATCTACAAATCAACCATTCGTCCTTGCATGGAGTATTGCTGCCATATATGGTTTGGAGCCCCTTCTGTTTGCCTCGGGGTTCTTGATAAGATCCAGAGACGGATATGCAATATAATTGTCCCTAATCTGGCACCTCGCCTGCAATCGCTCTCTCACAGACGCGCCGTCGCCTGTCTCTCCGATGAGCTGCTTGCGCTGGTTCCCAGACTTCATGAATCCAAGCATCCTACGAGGCTGGCATCCCGCTCTCACCCTTTCACTGTTGAAACTGTTAAATATAGCCGTCTTTTCTACTCCAATATCTTCGTATCTCGCACCTCTCACCTGTGGAACTCCCTTTCTTATTCCTGTTTCCCTGACAGCTATTATCTCCAACTATTCAAATGTAATGTCAATCGACATCTCCAGTTGCCTTGATCTATCCACTATCCTTCTCCTCATCCTTTCCTCTATCACTCCTATCTGCTCTCGCTCCAAATTCTATGTAACCCCTTGCGTAATAGTGGCTCCCCGCCTTGCTTCGGATGAATCGATTAGAAAAAAAAAGAGATTATAATTATAGTAAAGCCGAAAATTTGCAAAGAAAATTTTTCTAATCTGAAAAATGGATTTGTAATAATGACGGAATTATAAGGACAACATTAATGCGTTATTTGTTCTTGTTATGGTCCAGGTTAGGACCAAGGAAGAACAACACGAACACAAGAGTAGAAATAACGAAGGTATATTACACGAAATAATAATACAAGATGTGGAAGGTGTTAGTATGACTGTCAGTCTGGTTTGGAGTAAACTACTTTCGGCTCGACTCGATTCGGTATCTAGCCACCCGCCACGAGGGTTGCATGTGGCACAAGGCCGAGTTTAACGTGGGTTTCCCGAGCCCGTAGGCTCAGCCAAAAAATGCCCGTAGAACCCGTATAAACGTGATCGGGTTGGTCAACCTCCTCGAACGAGACTCTGCCCTTCGGCAGAGCGTCGTCCGGGTTACTCTCTGCTCAGAGACAGAGAGTTCAACCGATTCAAGCCGAGCTTCTCGGCTTGACTCGGTATCTAGCCCCCCCCTCGAGGGTTGCATGTGGCACAAGGCCGAGTTTAACGTGGGTTTTCTGAGCCCGTAGGCTCAGCCAAAAAATGCCGTAGAACCCGTATAAACGGGATCGGGTTGGTCAACCTCCCCGAACGACTCTGCCCTTCGGCGGAGCCTCGTCCGGGTTCCTCTCTGCTCAGAGGCAGAGAGTTCGACCGTCAAGCCCAGAAGCTCGGCTTGATTCTGTATCTAAACACCCCCCACCCCCACGCGGGTTGCAGGTGGCACAAGGCCGAGTTTAACGTGGGTTTCCCGAGCCCGTAGGCTCGGCCAAAAAACAAATGCCCGTAGAACTCGTATAAAAGGGATCGGGTTGGTGAGCCTCCCCGAACGAGACTCTACCCTTCGGCGGAGCCTCGTCCAAGTTCCTCTCTGCTCAGAGGCAGAGAGTTCGACCGTCAAGCCGAGAAGCTCGGCTTGAATCGTCCCTCACTCTTGAGAGGCGTAGTATACATCGTGTTAGGAAGAGTCCATTCTGTAGTTATAGGTAAGTATATGACAGTTCTGATATTAGTTTTTTAAAAGTTGCCCCTTGATATTTATGGCCGGTTGTATTTCTTCATACGGAAGCAGACTTGACGGGACCCAAGATAGTATCCTAAAGTTCATCTTTGCTCGTAAATCGCCATCAGTCAATATCACGCTTCCTCTACGAGATTCTTTTTCAATTTCCAATTCAGATTAAATTCGGTCAAACAAGGCCGCCATTTTATGAAACGGGTATGTTTGAAACCCATTTTATTCAAATATTCCATTATATTTATTCGCCGAATGAGATGGCACATTGTTGCGCATAAAAAAGGCCATCTTCTTTCTCAGGATGTTTGGCTTCTTCTTGAGATAAATTCCTAAATTGGCTATTATCAGACCTGCATTGGCATTGATCAGGATACCCATAAAATTCTTCACAGTTCGGCGCAACCATTCTTAGCGTTGTTTTCCCTTTTTGCAATTTCTAAAGTTCTTAGATATTTCTCTACGACCGCCTAATCAGATTTACGCCTTATTTGAAAGCTTTGAATTCATAAAGTAACTATCAATTTGAAACTTGCAAATTCATACAAACGGCTGTCGTATATTTGCATATGCACAAAACGAACCGTCTTTTATCATAAGTGAACAGATAAATGATGCCATCATTCAGTGAATAAACCTCTATATTCCAGTATTTATTTACCATATAGATAAAGTATTAAGTGGCGAATTATGTGACATAGTATAGTTTGGACAGACAGTTGACGTTTATCGAATGATCCACTGATCATGTCTAACAGACAGGGTGTTCCCCAAAACTTAGTATAATTTAAAATGTGAATATCTGAGTAGCTATATGTCCCAGGAAAACAAATTTCAAACGGATGTAAATTTTATAACCAATTTCGCAAACCTTCACAAATCTATATAAATAAATACGAATGTCGGTGTGTCACACTTTTTTAACTTTACTCCTAGAGGTCGTAGCCTAACATATCATACCATTTTGGAATCAGGCCGACATCGTGAGCAAATTAAAATCATTCCAGGCCGGTTCCAGACCCGAAATCTTGAAGTTTTGGATTCCCAAGTTTTCATTATTGCAATTGGTTTTGTACGTTAATTTTAGCGACAATTTTTTTGTACGATAACAATTTTTATAACTTGGAAATAAATTAGGGGATAATTAAAATTAATGGCGAAATCTAACGAAAGACACCCACGAAAAAAAATTAATGTACGGAAAGTAAGGACACTAAACCTCTATCTATAAAAGTCAGCATGTGTGTGTGTGTGTGTGTGTGTAACGAATGCACGGCCGCAATTTTCAACGGATTTGCACCAAAATGAACATGCTCCAAGTTAGCGGGAGGGCCAAGACTGACTTTGCATTTCCCAACGCCTATCGATAGTGGAAATATTGATTTTTTTGATGCTTCTACGGCAGTCTTCATGTAGTTTGCGGCCATTTTTTACTGGCCAGAGTGAGAGCCTATAGCTGGCTGCCACGAATAGGCAGGGAGATTCTATTGGCCAGCGTGAGTGCCAACAGCTGACTGACACGAATGTTAACTAGCATGCTAGCCTGCAAAAAAAATCAATAGTTGCATTCGTCACAAGTGGGAAAAATTTAAATCTGCATGGCACTTTACTCCAATTGGATCATTCGCTTGCTTAAACTCAACGTTGATTCTGATTCCGCAGAACTGGGTTGGGTGTGAAAAAGTATTTGTCTTTTTTCATTCGGTTTTTCCAGTTACGAGTCCTTTTTTAAAGCTGATCGTTTTATGTTCATTTTGTTTAGTTCTTTTTTCGTAACAGATTTAATGTTTAGTATAGAGCTTAGAAAAAATTCGCAGTGTGAGATAGGCAAGAAGTAAGGCATGTAGCAACATCAGCACGGCAAAGGGCATTCCTTTAAAGGCAAGGAAGGGAAAAAATATTTTAAGTCAAGTGATAGTGATTGCTGTATGAGTCGTACGATTTTTTAATCAAGCACGGGTAACGCCGGGGTATGCTGCTAGTTGCCTTTAAATTAAGTGGTGACAGAAGAATCATCATTGAACTTTTAAAAGGTAAGTATCAATATTAATGCAATACTTAGATGTAGGGATCAATTTTCATTTCTCTAGTTTATTGTTGCCTCTCGCATACGTCAGTAGTATGCCTCCCAAAAAGAAATCTCCGCTAACAGAGGACCAGGTTGTAATCAAAAGAGAACAAGGAAAAGAAAGTCTCGTACAAATAAAAAGCCAGATCAAACGGCAGCTAGGAAAATTTCCAATGCTAAGAATATGTAAAGATTTAGGGACTTACAAGCTCCTGAACAAGATGAAAGATCAATCCAGATCTCTTCGCAGGAGCTAGCTTAAATGCTGACTGATATTGTACACTAGCTTAAACTATTTGCCCATAGCTGGCACCTTATCAGGTGCAACTGCCTCGGGTCAGCGTGGACCTGCGAAGAACAGCAGTTAGGTGGCTTCACCCTCCTGAAAACCTCCCGATCAGAGATCTTGCTACCGGACGTAGTTTAACGTCATACCCAGGACCGGACCAATCCGGTACGAAAATCAAAGAAGTATTTATATGCAGTGTATCACGAGAAAATAAACCTGGCTGAACCCATCCCTTCCCATGTTACATTACAGACGATGTCCTCCGACATGAAAGCTCGCCTTGCTGTTGATTCCATTTTTTATATAAAATATATTGCTGGTATTTTTTCTTGTGTTTTGTTTTTACTTGGGGTTTAACAATTCTACGCATGGACTTATAAATAATGGTTTCAGTGATACAAGTCGTACTAATTAACACATAGCTGGGGAGAGAAGAGGTGGATTCATACCTTTCCCAAGCACATTTGCATGTAAATGAATATTAGAAATCCAACGGAACTCGGCATTCGGATTAAAAATTCAGAGCCATTATCCATTATACCACCCACACGTACAAGCTTGCAGCAGCTGGTATTCCCAAGTGGTCCCCAATCTAGGTACTGGCCAAGATTGATATTGCTTAACTTAGGTGATCATATGAGAACCGTTGTTTCAACGTGATGAGGGTCTCAGGTACTTACTGGATGACGCCATCATTTTTCCAGCATCTTTAATGTTGATCCATGTATATGAGTTCCACTTGAGGTCAGAGATGAACTCGAATTCTAGTAAACGGCCGAGACAAGTACACACTTTGAGAGAACTACCATTTATTATGATCGACAAAAATTCACATAAAGAAGAATTGATTGGTCGATTTGTTTGTTTAACGGCATATCAACTTCATGGGTCATTTATTGCCGAAATCTTATTTTTCTTGTGAACTTTGAAGTCATAAAAGTATGATATACGTTATTCTGCTTTCACAGTTGAATACATGGTAGATGATACTCAGATTTTGTGCAATTATACGATTGTGTGGACAAGAGACGCTGATATGTGTCTTATGTTGTAGTTTTGTGGAAGATTATTTTGGAATACAGTTTGATTTTCTTTGAGAGATTGTAGAATATTTATATGGATTAATGTCAAGAAAGTGTTCTTTCATGTTGGTTGTGTGGTTGATTTTGTTTAGCGGCATACATCCACCTCTATGGGCATTTAACGCAGGAACCTAATATTTAGAGTAATTTATGGCTTTAACTAAATATATTTTAAACGCAATTGCATGACTTCAGCTACAGATAAAAAGTATTCTTGGTAATTTTACTATATATATAAATATTGTTGGTAATTTTTTATATAAAAATATATTGCTGATATGTTTACTATAAAACCTTATTTTTAAACTTTCCTCGGTATTGTTTTTGCTTGGGGGTTAACAATTTGCCTATAACTGGGACCCCAAACAGCTGCTACCACCCCGGGTCATAGTGGATCTGGGAACAACAGCAATTAAGAGGTGGTTCCAAGCTCCTCAAAACTCTCCGAGCAGAAGCCTTGCTGCCAGATGTAGTTTATCGTCATACAGGACTACATATATATATATATATATATATATATGTGTGTGTGTGTGTGTGTGTGTGTGTGTGTGTGTGTGTGAGTGTGTGTGTGAACATGGAAGTCAAAACTAAAGGCGACAGGCTGTCATGCTAGACGCAATCGTCAGGAGGCCTGACGTCTGCGTCTAGCATGAATCTGCCTGTCGCCTCTGAATGTTGACGTTAATGTTCACTTTTATATTTAAACACGCTCTATCTCTGATATTGACCACTTTCTCCCACACCTTAAAACTATATTTCTTCATATATATATATATACATATATATATATATATATATAATTATTTATTTAAAATATGATTCCAACGCTACATAAGTGTTATATATATATATATATATATATATATATATATATATATATATATATATATATATATATATATATATATATATATATAAAATTTTATCAAATTGTCTTTTCATCAGAATTATTTTCAGAAATTTAAATATATATATATATATATATATATATGTGTGTGTGTGTACAGAGAGAAAGACAGAGAGAGGGAGGGATATGGGAGTGAGAGTAAGCGGCCGAAACATTATGATGAAACAATTTAACGTATATAAACAGAAGAGCATTGATGTGTGACAAACCCCACTGATTTGGAGTGTACTTTTAATTCCACACTTCCTTTATAAAATTTACTTTTGAATTCTGGGAGAGAGGAAGCCGCTTGCAAAAATCAGCCTCTATATCAAATTATTTTTTGTTTGTTATTTCTTTCTCGGCTTCCTTGCCAGTAGGTAGGTTCTTATTTGGAGATAGACTTGTTTGGAGATAAACTTTTTAATCTTCTCAGCACAGTCTATTTCCTCTGGCATCTTCACATAGGTGTGGTTATATTGATTGCTTCCTTTCATCGAATCTTAAAGATTTTAACTCCTGGTGGATCAACAATTTGTCAAATCGACGAGGAGAAATATTCTCTTGATAATATCAATTACGACCAAAGAAGCATTTGTTTTTGTTTTTCATTTGCAAATACGACAGATTTTTCTTTCCAACATTTGCTGCATTCATTTGGATGAATTGGAATCAGAAATTTTGATCTTCTAAAATAGGTTCAAAATAGAGGACACCCTTCCAGTCCCCCTATTTACACAGCATACCCAAGTTTGAATGTAAACCGGATTTTGCTACGGTAAGTGATGACACGTTTCGCTGGCTTCACAAAATCACGCGAACCACTCTCGACGCATTAAATATTCACGATACTTTCGACATAAAATGTATAAATAAATTTTGTTGTTTGTTTTTTTGTACATATAAATATCATTTTTGTCTTTACTGATGCCAGGTAACATGAAAAACCAAATGAAAAATATTATATACAGTGAAACGAAATCAGTTGACATAGATAGATAGATAGATAGATAGATAGATAGATAGATAGATAGATAGATAGATAGATAGATAGATTTGAACAAACTAAAATAGGATGCATACATAGGCTTGAACAAATTAATAAATAGGATAGATAGATAGGTAGATATTGATATGAACAGACGATAGATAGATAGATAGATAGATAGATAGATAGATAGATAGATAGATAGATAGATAGACTCGCTTTGAAATAATAGTTACTATTTTATTATGCTGTGCAGATGTTGGTGGAGATTGGACCCTCCATCCATTAACTTTTCTCTTGTTGGACGTCGCAGTTTGGTAAAATGGTGTCTGACATGAAACTGCATACGATTACTATCAGAGCATCGCTTTCACCTATACATGGCAGATCTTCTATTATCACAGTGTGGGACATTTAATAATACAAGTAATAAAACACCCACCAAAAAAAAACTTAAAGAAATTAAATTAAATTGCTTCAATTAAATGCCCAGACACAACTTAAGCAAAAATTTAGAAGTTTGAAAATACAACGTTCCAATATTTTCAGCGTTTCCCATCTATGCATAATTATAATTAACGTTTTGTATTTTTATGTTTCCCCCTCACCTTCATACGAATATGTAGTTACGATATTGAGCCCCCCCCCCCCACGAGGGTGTCATGTGGCACAAGGCCTTTTTAACGTGGGCATTCCGAGTCCGTGTGCTCGGCCAAAAATATGCCCATTGAACCCGTATAAAACAGGTTCAGGGCCGGTCTACCTCCCCGAAGGAGACTCCGCCCTTCGGCGTAGCCTCCTTCGGGTTCCTCCCGTCCGTAGGAAGAGAGTTCAACCGAACAGTCGGTTCAGAGTTGAACGACTGACTCACTCACGAATATGTGGTTACATCAACAATAGTATTATTTAGTCCGATGAAGTCCTTTGTCATTAATTTGCGACATATTGTTTAATATACAAAATGTATATATCATATTCTCCTATATATAGAGAGATAGGCTGCTGCAAAAATACCTCCCACATGTACCTTCCAGAAACACCTCCTACATAATGGTAAGACATTAGCTAGATGAAGACATCATCGCAACTTGCCCAAGGTTCACTACACAGGTGACAGTTAAAAATGGGGGAGCATTTCTGCCGCATAAGGTAGCTAATGTCTTCCTATTATATGGGCGGTATTTCTAGGAGTTATACGTGGAAGGTATACCTGCCGCATATATATATATATATATATATATATATATATATATATATATATATACTTGTATACCAACCTGTATGAGAATGACATTATATATATATATATATATATATATATATATATATATATATATATATATATATACATATAAAGACAACTTTTCGCCCTCCCCGAAAAAGGCGATCGAAAAGTGTATTTCTGTGGTTGTGCTAGCACGAAGTCACAAGTCATCGTGACCGAGGATTGAGCGGGCTAGTTTTGTTCATAATGTTGATCACGCTAGGTAACACGCTCTCTCCCAAAAAGTTTAATTAAGTTCCGCTCAGCATAGTTGTAGTATAAAAAACAGGTGGACTCTGTGGCTGTTGAGCAAACGCATATGTGCCTGAGCAGGCGTCTACAATGTGGATTAGGTAGCCGCCCTAGTAGACTAGCATCCTCGGATACGAGTAGCTGTGTTAGTGAATATATATATATATATATATATATATATATATATATGTGTGTGTGTGTGTGTGTGTGTGTGTGTGTGTGTGTGTGTGTGTGTGTGTGTGTGTGTACTGCTAGCACAAGCACAGAAAAGGCACTTTTCGATCGCCTTTTTAGGGGGACGGCGTAAATTTGTCTTTGTTTATATATATATATATATATATATATATATATATATATATATATATGTGTGTGTGTGTGTGTGTGTGTGTGTGTGTGTGTGTGTGTGTGTGAAAAATATATAGAAAATATGAAAGAACTCGTTAGGTAAATAATCCAAAGTTCTTTAGTATTTTTGTTATTATTTTTAAAAAATAGTGCTCGATACAAAAGTAGAGCCTAAATATAATTATTTATTTAAAAATATGATTCCATCGCTACATAAGAGTTCTCATGTTTCAAAACAAGAGCCGAAAACTTCAATATAATTATTTGAATTAAATTGAATTAAAGTACCAAGCTCTGTTCCATCTTCAAGCGAATACATATACATATAATGTCATTCCCATACAGACCTGTATACGAGTATATATATATATATATATATATATATTTATGCATTTATATATATATATATAGATAGAGAGAGAGAGAGGGGGGAGAGGGCGATAGAGGAAGAGAGAGAGATATTTACAGGCACGCAGAAAGAGAGTAGAAAAAATGACAGAAACCTAAATTAATGTAAATATTATAATTGACCCATGGGAGAGAAATAAATTAATTTTTCTGCTTTCGAAATAAATTGAAATGTAATGTTTTGTTCGGCGTCTCATTCTCTCCGAAGTGTAGCCAAACGTAAAGAAAGTCATTTTCTAACGATGGTTTCTTTTTGCCCAGAGGGTCGCAGGTTCGAATCATGGCGGAGAGCGCATATTTTTCTTTAATAAGATTTCTCGAATATTCAGGCCAGTAGACGGAAATCATTGAACATACCTTTTAAACATCTTCCCAGACGGAGACGTGTTTATAAGTTTTTTTTTGTTTTTTGATTTTTACCGAAAGTGTCTTTTTCAGACACGGACGAATAAACACGTCCAAAACATAGCATTCAAAAAACAGCAACAGACAATCTTGATTCTTTTTATGACCTTTTGAGCTTGAAACTAGTTCAGTTGTCAACTCATGCGTCTGGGAGAAATGTTCGCCACCGCTCGGGTACTTCAAGGTACCTCAGTTTCTATATTAAAAAAAAATAAAAAAAAGTTCGTCTGAAAGGGAAAATAATTGGCGAGGAAGAGGTTAATAAATAAATTTAAAGTGATAAAAATCTGTTGCATTTATAAATAAAATCCATTACCTTAAATTATATATATATATATATATATATATATGCATGAATTATTCACACAAAAACTAATGCAAAGGTTAATGATTTAAATGGCGAGACATCCATCATCGCAAACAATTCAAATAATATACAAAAACCTCCGTATCCGTTATGAATGAAATGATCCTTGTTTATATAAATTTCTGTCGTATTAGTTCTTATTTTACTACAAGCTTTCGTCTGTTCCTACAGACATCTTCAGGTATAGAATAGATGTTGTTCTTGTTTTTCTCTTAGTAATAAGAGGACAACGAAAATATATGTATTGTTGTATCCGAAAATGCTATTGAAAAATGAGTTATTGTTTTTGGAGCGCGCAAAAGCAACGCTGAGTTTGATTTTAAATTTTAAAGGTTGTGCGTTCATATAAAATATGGTGATGAACAAATTTTTTTACTGGTAAATTTTTCTGTCAAAAGTGGCATGAACTATATTGTTCAATAATTACAGTAATGTCGCACTTATTATCCAAAAGTCGCACTTGGATCAGTTATTTAAATTACGATAAACGTGCAATCAATTTTTCTCTTAGTAATAAGAGGACAACGGAAATATATGTATTGTTGTATCCGAAAATGCTATTGAAAATGAGTTATTGTTTTTGGAGAGAAAATACCTATGTATTTGTAAATTGATTGCACGTTTATCGTAATTTAAATAACTGATCCAAGTGCGACTTTTGGATAATAAGTGCGACATTACTGTAATTATTGAACAATATAGTTCATGCCACTTTGACAGAAAAATTTACCAGTAAAAAATACCCTACAAATTCGGGAGCAATTATACAATCTTTTGGATCGCTGACAAACAGGGGCTACCATTTATCCTGATAATTTCTCCCTATAAAATTACTCTCCCTTGGGTTGCAACTATTATAGGTATATCCGCAGTTTTTAGTTACTACAGTTTACACGTAGGTAATTAATTACACGTAGGTAATTAATTTATTACATGTAGGTATCTTAGGAGGCACGATGGAGTAATGGATACCGGCTCGGATTGAGGAATCGGAGAGCCGAGTTCGACTTCTAGTTGAATCCATTACATTCACTTCTGTGCTAATACCCTTGGGAAAGGTATGAATCCTCTTCTTCTCCCCAGCTATGGGTAAATAGCAAGACAGACCGGGTTCTATAGTCTCGGATGGCAACTGGTCTACCTCAGAAAGAAATAGCAACCTACTGCTGGAAAAAAAAATCTGCCTTGTCAGTCATTTATCGAAAGATACTTGATAGCCTAAGAGTGTATCACGCATAGAAATTAATTGAATGAGGTATAATAGGCCGCAATGCAAAATGTGGTTCTTGCTATGGGTCACAGTAAAAGAAAAATGTTTGAAAAATGCTGTGTTCTAGAAGAGATCTTAAGGCATTAGATCTACATGCACATCTGAAAAATCGTCATATTTAGGGCAACCATAATTTTAGCGTTGATCAATGCACGTACGCCATTTTTTTTTATAAAGGCAAATTGGGTAATTAGTTTTGTTTTTCGCTCACTTTTTATTCTGTTTTCGTGCCGTCTGGGGAAACGACGACCGCTTCTCTGGTTATTAGCTGTCGTTGATAATTACGGTATTTCTCTATATTTTATTTTCGCACTCGATTCCCATTTATTTGGCTTTCTGCTTCATTATAACTTGCCATAATCCATTCCATTTCTGTCTTTTCTCATAAGATGAACAGTGTTTTGCTCACAGTACCGTCGAAACCACATTACAGTCACGATCTCTGTCGCATTAGAAGTTATCATTATTTACATTATTGACGCTCGGACTAATGTCCTCATCTTTGTTGCTATTATCGCAAACTTTCGATGGTTGTGCCTTTCGGTCTTCTCCCAGTGTATGCCGGTCCAGATAAAAACTTTATTTAATCTACGGGGATAGGTTTTTATCGTTCCGTTGTCTAGAGATATTTCGTTCAGTTCTTTTAACTGTATTTAACTGCTCAGTTATTAATTGGCTTGTTTTCACTACGTCCGTGTCTATACTACCTGGTCCAGGGATTGAACTCATAATTTCTATGTCGTAAAATTTACGAAATAAAGCTCTAATCCCCTGGTCCGTGAAGGGCGGAACGGGGACAATCTTCCACTGTAGATAAAATAAAGTGTTCAGTTCAAAATTTCCGAAGATTACTGAAGATAGCCAGAGGGCACAATGACCGAAACGTTGTGATAATAACTGCAAAGATGTGGACATTAGTTTGAATATACATAAGCCAAAGGCTCTTATTAATACAGACATCTTAATAACAGGTTCAGGATTTGTTGATCTTATGCTGTTCGTCTACGGGCTACAAAATAAAGACAAGCGATTTCTTTTCCCACACAATGAACGCTTATTTTGTGTAATTTTTCCTAAATATCTGCACTTAAGACTGTTAAAGCATTTCTCTGGTATTTGTTTTTCAGTTGTCATAAGCGGAGACCAGACGACCTTCAAGTTCAAACAACCAGCGATAAAGACATTGTCAACAACTCAACAAAGATATCTCCGGTTTGATATTTACAAACCTTAGTATGGTACAAGATAAAAAAAAATGCAATCAGTTCACCCTAATAAAGGCGACAATGCCACTAAGGCGCAATACGACTACTGATAGTGAAACAGAATTAAAAATGTTTAGAAGGAACCGGAAAACTAATTCTAATCAGGAAACAAGTGATAAACATCTACACCTGTTCAAAAAGCCGGGGAGGTTGTGAACCGGGCGATAGATATATTTGTGTACTTCTATTGAGAAAATGGTAACGGTGGAGTAATGGATAGCGGCTCGGACTGAGGAATCAGAGGGACGAGTTCGAATTCCTTTCGAATTCATTCACTAATACCCTTGGGAAAGGTATGAATACTCTCCTTCTCCCAGCCTTGGATGGCAACTGATCTATAGCCTTGGATGGCAACTGGTCTACCGCAGAAAGAAATGGCAACCTACTGCGTCAGTCATGTATCGAAAGATACATGATCGCCTAAGTGTGTATCCCGCATGGCACATAACTGACTGAATATCATCTCATTGTTTGCTGTGTAACGAGTTCAAACTTCAATGGATAATTAATTATTAATGTGATATTCCGTCGTTATGGTAACAGGAGGTATGTCTTCTTTTTGACATCGCATAATACCTCATGTTGCCATAATTGAATTTCGTATTACTAAGAAAGAGAAATGTATTCCTCGAAATGTTTACAAACGGAGTTAAGTAATATTTTATACATTTTTTCACGCCTGTTGTATCTAGTGGCTTTCGCTGTAGATCAAATGACAACAAATCTCCTTCACTCTCCAGTACTTTCCTCAGTATTCTTGCTGATTTTTGGAAATACTATTTTTTGTCATCGGATGGCGTTCATTTTGCTAGGCTTTAGAAGGATGACCGAAGCGCACTTATATTGATGGGTAGAATAATTGTAAGCTTTATAACAAAGTTCACACCTGACTTCTTATCCTCTGCCTTCATCAGGCCGAAAATGGAGTGCTGTTTGGAGCAGGATCTGCCCAGACCTCACTTTCTAGTCTTGATAGAATTCAAAAGCGTCTCCGAGTCCTTGTAGAAGAAGAATTATTTTCCGCACTCCAACCTCTCTCTCTCTCTCACATGCGGAATGTGACAAGCCTCTCACTGCTCTATCGCTTCTACCATGGAAAGTGTTCGGACGAACTGCATTTCCTGGTTCCACCAACGGTTAGGACCCGCTCTGCCATTTACATAGTATCAAACCATCCACACTCCCTCGGTATTCCATCGGCGAGGAGTAAGTTCAACTCAACCAGCTTCTACCCGCGAACTACTGCCATGTAGAACAGACTCCCTAGAGCACTACAATATTGACCTATTCAAGTCTAGAATCAACTGTTATCTTCACCTCCTATCCATATAAACTAACCTTTTTCTTAACCCTCTACCACGAGTGGCCCCCGGGCTTTGTACAGTGTATTAATTATTACCTACTTTCAATAATGAAAAAAAAAAAAACTGACGAGGACAAGTTTTCCGAAGTAATTGATTTCGTTGCTGATTTGAGTGCAGAGAAACCCGATTTCCGCTTTTACTCCAAAAGTAGATTGCTTGAGTTTTAAGTTACGATGCAGATATTTCTAGGCCTATACAGTTTTAATACAATCTCAACTCTATGAAGCATCACATTAGGAACAGATTCCCTGATAATGTCTGGTAATATTGGTTCTTTAGGCACTGTACTTTCTTATTCTAAGTAAAAATGTCTTTTTTGTTTCCATTTTCCTTAAACCTTTCTCGTTATTCACGTGTTCCTCCATGGTATTCTCAGCATCCTTCTGCTTTCTTTATTTGTCTTTCTTTTTTAATGCTTCATTTTTTTTTTCATTTTCTATGCTCTCTTAGACATTCTTTTGTCATTGTAACGCTTCTTTCTTTTCTTTTTATTTCTTTCTTCTTTATTTTTATGTATCTTTTATTTATTTGATCAGTCTTTCCTTCCATTTCTCTTTGTTCGCTGTTTTGAATTTGTAGCATTGGGCGTGTAAAATTGAGCAGAATAAGTTAAGATTTAGGATTAAGAAAAAGAAAAATCTCAAAATTAAAAAGACAGTTACACAGGTTGTTAGAAATATATGGCATTTCTGAAATACTATATATTTTATAGGGTCAGTTGATAGCCACAAATCCCACAAAAATGGTAGAAGAATTATACAGCGGTACCTTTTCATTGGCCCGTGAATTGACGAATCATCTGTTAGCGATAAAGCGAGATTTTCATGATAAAAAAGATTTTCGGCTTCTAAAATTTTTGAAGTGACAAAGTTCATTTCGTTGTATAAGGGCCCAACAGCTAGGATTCATTCTCTCTCTCTCTCTCTCTCTCTCTCTCTCTCTCTCTCTCTATCTCTCTCTCTCTCTCTCTCTCTCACTGACAAGTAGTCGGCAAAATTTTCCTGCTGGGGGACAATAAAAGTAAACAGTGCATATTATATACGTTGTGCTATTTCATACTACAAAATAAACTTTCTCCTGATAAAAACACGGTTGATTTGACTTTCAGTAAGAACTTATACTTAATTTTATGTAATGTCGTCACTATGTCACCATTTGGACATTTATTCTCTTTTTTTTCTTTTTTTTATTTTTGTTGTTTATTATAAGGTCATTCTATTCGTTCTTTTAATCCAGCAGTGCCCTCTCTTTCGCTCTTTGCTCTATTTCTTTATTCTTCCTTTTTCCTTTCTTTTCTTTCCAATTCCGTGTCTCATCCTTTCATCTTTTTCTTCGTATTATTAGTTCTTTCGTTTTTTAATAATTCCTCCTTCCGCCTTTGTAGCAATTCTCTTTTACTTCTTTCTCTTTGTCTATTCTTCTTTTTCTGTTTTTATATTTTTAACCTCGTCCCTTTTTCTCCTTTTTTCTTGTTCTCTCTTTCTCTCTCTCTCTCTCTCTCTCTCTCTCTCTCTCTCTCTCTTTATTGTTCTTGAACCTTTCCTTTTAAATATATCTGTGATTCCCTTTTACTTCTTTATATATATATATATATATTTAAAGATATTTTTGTAGGTACAAAATTTAATGATCGAAATAAAAGTATAAAATTTAATATTACAAGACATATTAAAACAATATTAAATAATTAAAAAAAAACAAAAAAAACTCAACAACATGTGGGGGGAAGCAACCGGTTTCGCTCCCGCTCGTCAGGCTTCCACAGGAGATTCAATATTAAAACAGAGAAATGTACAATGTGAATAGGTGAAAAAAAAAAAAATTTTTTTCCACCTCTGTTTTTGTTTTTTTTTTATTATTTAATATTGTTTTAATATGTCTTGTAATATTAAATTTTATACTTTTATTTCGATCATATATATATATATATATATATATATATATATATATATATATATATATATATCTCTTTCTGATATTCCCTAAAAATCTTTTTCTCTTTTCTTTCTATTCTTTATTTTTTGTGTTCTTTTCTTTCTACCCCATCTACTTTTTCACCATCCTCATCTTTGTATTCTTATGTAATTTATTTTAAGTCTTTTTCATTTTCTATTTCTTCCTTTGTTTTTTTGGGGAAGTGGAGGTATTTTGTCATTTTTCTTTCGTTTCTGTTTTCGTGTTCCATCTTTTCGAATTATCACCTCTTGGTTTCATCTCATTTTTTTGTTCTTTCTCCTTTTTTTAATACTTCCTCCTTCCTTCTTTTTATCAGTTCTCTATTCTTCTTTCTTTTTCTCTACTGTTTATTCTCCTTCATTTTAACCTCTTATTTTCACTCTTTTCTTTTCTCTCTCTCTCTCCCACTCTCACTCTCTCTCTCTTTCTCTCTCACAAGCAAAATTTCTCTCTCTTTCTCTTTCTCTCTCTCTCTCTCTCTCAAACAAAATCTCTCTCCCTCACTCTATTTTTCTTTCTCACAAGCAAAATCTCTCACTCTCAAACAAAATCTCTCTCTTTCTCTCTCTCTCACTCTTTCTCTCTCTCTCTTTCTCTCTCTCTCTCTAACAAAATCTCTCTCTCTCTCTATATATATATATATATATATTCATATATATAAATTGTTTTTGAAACAAAATCTCTCTCAATATACATATATATATATATACATATATATATGTGAAAAGTGTATATAAATATAAGTAAATATATATATGTATAATTATTTATATATTATATGCGTGGTACTTATTAGAAGCGCTCAATATCAGAGATAGAGCTAACATATTTGGTTGGATAGATGTGAGTTTGTCACATCTATCCAACCAAATATATATATATATATATATATATATATATATATATATGTAGAGAGAGATTTTTATTATATATATATATATATATATATATATATATATATATATATATATATATATATATATATATTACTCTTCAGTTTTTCCTTCTTTTTAACTAGATCTATTGATTTCTTTCATTTTATTATTCCCTTTTGTTTTCATTGAATTTTTTATCCGTCTTTTTGTTGTTTCTTCAGTTTTGTGCCGTCTTCTTTTTTTCTTTCAGTACCTTTCTTTCTCCCTTATTTTCCACCATTTTCAACTCTCTCTCTCTCTCTCTCTCGCCCCCTTTCTCTCTCTATCTCTCTCAAATATATATATATATATATATATAATTTATTTCGATTCTTTTCACAGTTCTCTTTTGTTTATTGACACCATTCATTCGTTTCTGAGCTTGAACATTTTTAATCCATTTTCTCCTGTCCGAGCTTAGAACTTGCTTTAACTTTAATGTCTCTTGAAAAAACTATGGTATTCAGGAAACCTTGCATCTGTCACAACTGAATGGAAATAGATTGGAATTTTTTTTAATCTAAATTTTCAATGAATTCACTCGAAACGTATCACTTGTGACTACACCGTTGATAGTGATGAAACCACCCAAGTGTTATATTCACGAATTAAACAAAAACAAGAAAAATGCATTTACTTTTATCGTCAGAATAGAAAGCAAATTGAAAATGGCGATAATTATGGTTGGTTAAAAAAGAAAGATAAACAAGAAAATAGCTCACTTTTTTTTTTCTTTTTCTTTTGATAACTGAAAGTGTAGCTTCATTGTGAAACTGTTTTTTTTTTTCTTTCTTTTTTTCTTTTAGATAGAAAACTATCTAACTGGAAACGCGGCTTGATTGTAGGATTGTCGTTTTGTATTGTTTTTTTGTTTTTTTCCATTTCTGCTAAATCTGACAATTACCATTCCTGAAAGCATCTTTATCTGGGATACTGAATCGTTGTGCGTTTCAATGTTTTCTTCCTTTGACGCTGTCTATTCTTAGATGCTTGATACAAGGGGACTTCTTGATAATTCGGGGTCGAGATTTATTTCAATATTCAATAAACGGCTGCGGTTTTAATAAAAGAGGGGTTAGGAAAATCATTAAAACGGTCAAAATTTTCAAAAGTTTCGGTGGTTATAATAAGCTCGAGGGGGTAGAAAGATTCCCTAAAAAAAAAAAAAAAAGTCCCACCATATTTGTTAGACACCTGAAATTACATTCCGAAATGCTATACCTTTGAGATGTAAAACTTTTAATGCCGACAGGATTCGGCGGGGAAGACGTTCAAAATGAAAAGAACGTTGAATTTAGCGTTTCAATTGGATTATGAATATTATGAAGATATTCTATTTATTTATCACTTATAGAGTTTATAGATAATGTTTTTGATTTTTAATTTTACACAGTTTCTTAGTAGTACAAAATTTAAGTCTAGAATGAAAAAAAAACGGAGACGTTGAAAATTACAATCGAAAAAAAGAAAAAAACGTTATTTAAAAAGGATTTACAACGTAGATGGAACCCTAATTTTTGTTGAGGAGGCTTAAAATTGTTCGAAACCAAAAGATGAAATACTTCTACAAATTTATTTACTACTAAGAAAATTATCGATAGTTTAAAATATTTATAAATAGTGCTATATTTACAAATATAGAAATAAGATTTGAAAAAACAGTCAACTTTTTGACAATAGAAATCTCAAATAGTTTTAAATTTGTATCTGATTGGCGTTAAAGTGCCATTCTTTTCTGAATGCAATTTTTTAATTTTTCTAGATTACGATTTTGTTGAGAGTGTGTCTGTGCATCCATCAGCAGGAAAAAAATTAAATTCGGCTGAAGAGGATATAAATTGTAAAGTTTATTTAAAAAATCATGTCGATAAAATGAAAGGAAATAAATTATAAGATTTGTATCGATGCCACTATGAGCTGAACAATATCGAAAATTACATGTCAATAATGATGCGAAACCTACAAAAATTATAGCGGGAATTGGATAATTCAGATTACTTGTCGAAAAATAATAGACTTCAAATTGGATCTATAATTAAAGAATTATCTGTAACATATCTTTGATTAAAAGTTAATTTTGTGAATTTTACTCAGCAATTCAATTTGAATCTTTCAATTTTCTTCCCAACAAGATCGTCTGCAAATGTTAGAAAATGTAGTGGCATTTTTAAAGGGCTCTGATTGATAAAAAATAGTAATTTGACAATATAAATTTCAATGTCTATAGAGTTTCCTATTGCTTAAAAATAGAAGCTTTAATTCTGAAGGAAAATACAGGTTTGTTACGTACAACTTTTTTTTTTGTTTTGTTTATTTTTTTTTTAGCTTTTGCATCTCTACTCTTTTCTTTATATATTTCAAATGATAGATCTAAGGTGATAAATCCCCTGCCACCGAAAAAAAAACCATCCTATTCTTTCTAAAAAGAGCATCTCCAAAATGATGTTCTTTTCCAGTATGGTCTTTAAATGTCATCCATGACTTCTGCTTTTAAACATACAATAATTTCAGGGAGCTAAGGACAATGAGGGGGGGGGTGAAACGACTGTTCGAGATGATGCAGTGTCTATTCTGACGTAGACAATATTATTAATTTAATTTAATTTAAAAGCACACGTATAAAATACTGAAGATTGCAAATCTATAGAGAAAATTATGCATTTGTTTGCTTCTCAAGAACCAAAATAATCTATTCAACAACAACAATAATAATAGACTGTAGTCTATCTTTGAAGATCTTCAAAGTACTATCAAAATACAAGGACCTTGAAATAGAAATCTCAAAAATGGGGCACATGATGATATCAACCATTCCATTTGTAGATGGAGCACTCGGATTGACTGGAAAAGGTTCCGACAGAATCATTGAAGAAATCCCTGGTAGCCCAAGCCTTAAAGAAATACAATAAATTGTACTCACAAGTATATCCCACAATTTACTAAGGGTGTTATCTATGTAAAATGGGTATGATCTTGAGGGATTTTATTATTTTTGTTTTTTTTACACAAAAATGCTCAGTGGAAAATATCATGAAACTATTTATGACCTTAGGTCATTGGCTGGGACCAACAAATGAGTATATACCATAAATCAAAGGAAATAAAATAATAATAATAATAGTCGAAGAGCTTTGTCCATTTATTTATTTATTTTTGTTAATAGCTGTCTTTAGTTTAATTAAGTGGGAACAACAAAAACTTACATCCTTTGCTTGTCTTGGGTCATTGGTTATGACCCTGAATTTGATTAGATAAGAACTGCAGGTGAAAAAGACATTTTTATACTACTACTACAACTACTACTACTATTATTATTATCATTATTGTAATTTTATTTCCTTTAATTTCTGATGTGTACACATTTCGTCCCAGTTCCCGCCCAGAGACCTAAGGTTAGAAATGGCATCATGACATTTTTCACTCACACACACACACATACAAAAAAAATTTTACATAGACAAATCTCTTAGTAAGATGTAGGCTGTACTCGTGAGAACGATTTTTTGTATTTCTCTAAGACATGGGCTTCCAGGAATCCCTTCAATTAATCTACTGGGATCTTTTCCAACCAATCCAAGGGCTCCTACTACAACAGGGGTAGTTAATGTTTCCATGTACCACATTTTTGAGATTTCGATTTCAAGGTCCTTGTATTTTGATAGCTTTTTGAAGATCTTCAAAGATACATTGCAGTCCGCAAGGACTGCCATATCAATAAGGAGGACTTTTTTTTGTTTGCGGTCTCTAAAAACAATGTCTGGGCGGTTAGCTTTGATTGTTCTGTCTGTATGCATTATGTAGTGCAATAAAATTTATTATTATTATTATTATTATTATTATCAATATTATTATTATTATTAATAATAATAATAATAATAATAATGTTCTGTATTCTTTGTTTTGTTTTTAAAATTCATGGGAGATATTTTTTTAATGTAATGCATGTTTTTCGGGCATCCGTTTTATTTCAGGCAACTGACTTTACCCTGTAAATGCTTCTATTTAAACCGATTTTCTTCTGTAAATTGGTCGAAAACTTTAGAATCTTCTCGGTGGTTTATTTCTTGTTTGTTGGTCCTAATACTACAGACAGTAAAAGGGTTAATCAACAAACATCGTAAAATATGTGATGCGCGTTAACGTAATCGATGAACAAGAAAGAAATCACTTTAAAGTCTGTGTCGGACGGTATGATCAATTTGAGAAAGCCATTTTGAAACAGTTATTTTCTTCTTTTTTTTTTCACTCCACATTTTTCTTTCAAAATGGAATACCAAAGCGTTCCGTTTGGGGCTAAATAAGTTACAAGTGCGTTTTAAGTACTACACATTCTAAAGAATTGTCCCTTGTTGGATGATTTGAAATTGCTAATTTAATACCGAAGCCAATATTTTCGGCAACTGTCGATGCGAAAGGAAAGCGAGGTTTACCATCTTATTTTCCTTTTCGGTTAGATGCAAGTAATGTCATTACGTTGTACTCTGACAGCGCGGAAGCTTAACAACTGTTTTTACAGTTCGAAGACAACATCTCAAATTTTCTGAAAATAAATTTCTCAAAACGTTAAAGCTACCTGACAATATATTACAGCTTCTTAAGCAAAATGATTTTATAAGAAAAGCTTGTACAAGAATGGCTGACTCAATTATACCCTCTGTACACAGTTAGAACAGAGATTTTCTCTTAGAGTTTGCC